GAGGATGGAAACACCTTTTATGGACAATAAGAATGGGTGAGATTCAATGTTGTCATGCGGCTGGATCATCGCGTTGTGAGACATTTTCCATCACTTGAAGCGATTTAGATTGACTACATTTTACATTCAAGACCCACCTCATCATCACGATTTACATATTTTTGCATTTGAAGTTGTCCATCCTCATTTTCGCAAATAGATCTTGATGTCATGGTGACATGGTTGGACGCACCTTGTCCGAAATCCCCCCCTTTAGTAGTCATGTTGATTGTCAGCTTTTCACGAACTGTAGCTTGGCGGCAAGAACAGCAATATTCACCAAATATGCCGGCGAAACGTCTTGCAATGAACCAAATGCACGATTCATTTCTGGGAATCGCCATGACTACTAGAGTTGCGAACATGTGATCGGCCTACTTTTATCCTTTGCGGTCGGTTTTCTGTTGAAAATGGATTTGGGCGTCTTGTTGAGAGCAATCGGCCTATTGTGGACTTGATAAAAGTGACGAGCGCTGTTGCTGGTCCACTTTGACTTGGGTGCTGGTGACCTCGGCGATCGGTCATTAATGCTGCATGCACAGCCAACAAGACTGGTTGCTGAGGCGTTTTGGGCTCGTTCGGTGGCCGGCTCCTTTTGGCACCGGCGCAGACTGAGCCGAGGGGTGTCCTTGAATCCGGACAATGTCTGACTTTTTTCCCTCTCTACGAGGCAGACCGACCAGCAGTGCCAATTCGTCAAACTTCCATACCCGACGTGGTACACGCCTTACCTTCTCGCTGCCAAATGGGACGGAAGAGGGCCAACCGGACCGAGGAGGGGCGGCGGCGAGCCGACAATGAGGCCATTACATTTTATGCAGGTCTTTAATGGCAGTTGAGATATAAAGCCCGGCTTGAGACGATCATTCTTTGTGCTGTTGGATGTCGGCATACTTTTGGTCTCAGCACTTAGCCCCTCCCCGGCCGCGATGCCGGTCTGTTCAGTCCCTCAAAGGGTCTTCTGGCCGAACTCGATGTCAGACAGTGCCATTATGCATCACCCTCACTCCAGAGAGGAGGGGGAGGAGGAGGAGTAGGAGGAGGAGGAGGAGGAGGAGGA